GGGGGGGGCGACCGGTGCAGTCGCGGGTCACTACCGCGCTCCGCGGGGCAGTCGCGGGGATAGCCGCGATTCATGCGGGTAGTCGCGGGGCAGTCGCGGGGGTAACAGCGAGTCACTGCCGTGCCCCGCGGGGGATGCTTGCGGTATTGCGGGAGTGTCACGGTTCGCGGGGGTAAGTCGCGGTTTTGCGGGGGTACGTCGCAGTCTCGCTAAGGGTTATGTGCGGGGGGTGAGCGACCCCCGAAGTACCCTACCCCCCAACCCCAACAGTGACGTGCAGCTCGTGTGAGTGAGAGACAGCTAGCCACCCCGCTTATAGCCCGGCCCCGTGTTGTTGCGGGACTGCATACTTTCAGAAAAGGAAGGGGTCTGTGGACCACCCTGTACATACCAAATTGAAGCACAACTTTCCTCATTTAGAAGGCCCTTTGTCCGTTTCTCTGTGATTCGTAGTTTTTGTATAATAAATAATCTCCCCTGTGCATTAGACGATTTTCACAGGTCTGTTTCCTTAACCAACCCCATTTTGGGAAAGTTTCACCTAACTATCCAATTTTAATGGTTGTAGCCCCAAAAATCCAATTAGATAGATGTGTAATCCCTTGCAATTCACGTATAAGCCCTGTTCCGTAACCCTGTGTAGCCTTCTGTGTGGCCTTTATTAAATTGAAAGAAAATTAAAGTTGAACTATTTAAGGAATCATCTGGTAAAAACGGTCAGCAGCATTCGAGAGTGCTCTGATCGAGCGTTCGAGGTATATTTTAAGCATCAAAACCCTATATTGATACAGATTTTCCTGTGCGCTGCCTCATTGCAAAGTCAACTGAACAAGTAAATTGAGTAAACATTGTGCCAGGACCTCAACCACGTGTTTCGCCGCTTTCTTCTCGTCATCTTCTGGGCGGGGGGCTGCACGTCAATGCTGAGTGCGGTGCGTCTGGCCGTGCGCGGTAGCGACACTCTCGGCCTCATCTTCATCGTCGTGGCCCCCGTCAGTTACTTCCACCTGTGTCTCTTGGGTGACTCTCTGGCCCATGCCAGCGGTGGCCTTGCGAAAGCCGCGTACCACTGTGACTGGGTCGCCTTGCCGCCCAAAACACGCCAAATGTTGTTGATGGTTGCATTGCGCTCTTCTAAGCCACAGGTAAACATACAAAGAATCGAATGGCTGCACGGAAAAAACTACTTTAGTTGATCCAACTAAATATTAGTTGAGAGAACTAACGTGTTCGTTGCATAGCAGTCAACTAAATTTTCAGTACTTTTATCTTAACTGTCTGATGAGTTGAAGAAAATGTCAGTTGCGATAAATAAGACCCGTTGTCCTGACATAGGGTAAAGGGCCCAGTAGTCGACAGTTTAAGAGCAAGGCTTTTCAAAATTGCCTACAACAGAGCGTAGGTGTACGGTAGCGTCAAGGAAAAATTTCGGGGGTGTAGTGGAAGGATCAAACTTTATGCCTCATAGGTCAAAAATGGAAATAAATACATTTTTGTACACAAAAATGTAATTCAAAAAACAATGTTCATTGGCACAGTAGTCGACACTGCCTGGCCCAGTAGTCGACACTCTGTCATTTTACCCGGATTGCCGTGTCTGATGGGTCCCTGCAGCCTGGCTAGCCTTCCCCTGCCTCTCGGTCGCCTTTTTGGCCATCAGGGTGTCCTTCTTGGCCCTCTTTGCGAGGTGCTGTTCACCTTCTCCGGCCTTCAGGCGACCTTTTTTGAAATATGGTGAAAAACATTTTTTTCTAGTTCTACAGAACGTCGTTTTTTGGCTACATATCGGAAAATAATTTTCTTCTTAGCGCAATTAGTCTAAAATGAAACAGTTCTGTCGCGTCAAAGCGCAACTAATAATGTATAGGACGACACGATGTGACACACGAAAACCGGAAAGTGCTGGCAATAGCTTGGTAATTAAACCTTAGTTTGTTACCTAAAATGTCTTGTGGGCAAGCTGAAGATGTTATCGCACAGCGTATCGACACCTGAGTTATATCCCTATATAAATTCCACACCGAACCGCATATAGCCGCTCCCGGGATTATGCCCACGGCGGCCCAGGGGGGGTAAAAAGTGTCAATTTCCCTCAATGACCAAACCAATGACCCAACTTCGAACCCTTAGAGAGGGGTTGAAGGTCAGACAATGAGTCAGAATGGACTGTGCCGCAAGCTTGGGATATCTTGAAGTACTTTATTCCAGGTATACTTGTTCAATCCCAGTTTTGCACACCACCCTAGCGGCCAGCCGCCCGGACTGGCGCGACTACGGCGGTGCAATTGGGGTTCCAACCCCCCCTCCCCCCTCGACCCTTGTGTCTGCTGACACTTTTCTCAGGCAACCAGGGCACGCGTTCGCAGAGAAATGCTTTACACAAATGGGGCACTGAAAGCAAACTCTATCATTCGGCACAGTATTGACACCTGGTGCTTTACTAATGTCATCATGATGTATTACGAACTAGAAAATTGAGGACACACGATCCCAACAACATTTCACGTTGTCAAAGGGCCCTAGTTGTCGGAATAAGCCCGTATGAAGGTAGCACACCCTCAAAATAAAGTAAGTGTCGACTACTGGAACAGATGTCTTTTTCTGGCCCAGTAGTCGACACCACCATTAGTTACGCCCCTGACCGAAATTTTCAAAAACCTAAATGGGGAAAGATAATACATATCTTTGACAACAACACAAACGTCACCCGGAACCACTCGGGTGAATGGCAGCCTCACAGAACCTTCCGAGCAAACACCTGCCCACTACTCCGGAGCTAAGAAATTATGGCTCGATGTGACGCGACGAGCAGTGTTCTGTGCGAAGCGCTCCCTACCCTGGGTAAAAAAACCATGGGGCTGTCCATGAGCCATGGACATAAATTTAACCATGGATTTTTCTGACCATAGATTTATGGAACCAGTAAACCATGAAAACAAAAGTTGACCATGAGTATATAGTGGATGGATTGCATGGCCATGGCCAATGTGCTCCATGGCAAGGGATGACCATGAGAATTGGCTTTCATGGTCACAATTAAGTCCATGAATGTGTCCATGGTTACTATTACCATTGTCATGTAGAACGTCCATGAACACACGTTTAGACATGATACTGTTATCAATGGACACAAAGACCATGATAGAACGAATCAATGGCCAACTGTATTAGTAATGGACATGGGATGTTTTCCTCATGGTCTGTGTGTTCATGGTCTACGTTTATCA